TTTTAAGACCAAACATGATTACAGGAGCTAGCTTTCGACGGAGACGTGGTCCACAGCTACCGTTGCAGAGTGCAGCGTTTCCTCCTGAACCATATTGACTCAGAAGGATCCTCATTTTTTGGTTTGCTTTTTCCCCTCTCCAATGTTAGCCTCTTTTTTTAGTATATTTTCTTTCGTACCGCAGTCAAATGACAATCACATTTTCATGTGGCCGAGATGTAAATAGAAAGAGGAACATGATTTTGGAACATGCCAACCGCTAGCTGCTGAGGGTTGGCAAATCTGTGTGAAACAGCCTGTCCTGGGCCAAGAGCGTCACATTTCCCAAATGCCTCCTCCTGGGCCTCCCAGGTCACATATTTTCAGTGACCTACTTTTGATATTCTTGAATCTTGGGTGGGTTGTGTGATAGTTCTATGCCACATGCACAAGAGCAGAGTAACAAGTGCTTTGCATTCAACAATGTCACGATACCGCTCTACTGTCTTCCTTCCCTCCTTTAACCACCCTGGTTGCAAATACCACGGAGATTTTTGATATTAAATGCTAAGTGATCTGTGGTAATCGCTGCATGTAATATGTGTGGGGATACTGGCAACAAGTGTACAAGAGTAGTCCACGAACGCTACCATACTCCAGAGCTTCCTTTTGTTTTAGCTGGATACAACATTAGCCTTGCTGTTGCCACTGGTTGAAATTCTGCAGGGACTTTGGCAGCAATTGTGGTACCCCCTGTAGTCTAGAACACCCCCCCATAAGACCACACAGATTTGGTGTTGCAGATTAACCCTGGAGGTTGCATCTTTATTGAAGCCTTAGATGAGAGAGACATCCAGTGAGTCCCAGGGGTCATTTCCTGCATGAGCGCATAGGAGTGGAGCTCCGGCAGTAAAGATCCCAGGGGGCGGGCACATGCAACAAGCCCCACCTCCTGCGCCCAGCAGCCCCGGGCCACGAGGAGCAAGAAGCAGCCAGGTAAGTTGCAGAGCCCCTCCCCAGCTTTAAGACCAAGTTTTATTCAGGTACAAGCTCTCCCTCCCCCGTGAGGGCAGATCTGCGTGTGTCCCCCCCCCATAGCTAGCAATCCAAAACAGTCCAGTGGAGCCTGAGCAGTGGGTGTTGCCTTCTGACACACGTCCGGTGATGTCAGGGGGTGTGGCCTATGCAAATGAGTTATGCTAATGAGTTATGCTAATGAGCTCCTGCACCTCTTTTTCTACAAAATGACCCCTGCCAGTGACCATCTGAAGTCATATGCACCGGCAATACCTCCCTTTGCTTCTCTCATGTACCACACAGTGTGGGAGATTGTATTGCATCACCAGTAGTCGGTGTGTTACAGGGATGCTAACTCTGGGTTGGGAAGCTCCTGGAGGCTTGAGTAGGGTTGCCAGCTCCAGTTTGGGAAATACCTGGAGACTTTGGGGGAAGGAACCTGAGGAGGGTGGGTTTGGGGGGGAGCTCAGCAGGGTATACAGAGGTCACCCCCAAAAGCAACCTTTTTCTCCAGGGGGGGTATCTCTGTAGTCTGGAGATCAGTTGTAATTCTGGGATATCTCCAGGCCCCACCTGGAGACTGGCAATCCTCATATGTTGGATGCATGCCTTTAACCTGTGAGAAAATGTACTTGTTTTGTTCCACTTACCACACTTCTGGTGAAAACTGTACCAAGGACATAGTGATACAAGAACTGCCTCGCTAAATTACATTGAAGTAGCCTGGAATTAAGAATTTACATAATGGTGAACTTCTTCCTTATGAACTTCCATATGATCAAGAGTTTTTAGCATTAACTGTCACTCTTACGATTTCTAAGCATTTTCTAAGTTTTATGCTAAAGCTTCAATGTTTTATTTTATTTTATTTTATTTTAAAAGCACTTCTAAAAGTGCACTCAAATAATTATTTCCATGTCTGGCAAAATCCTACTTCCTTTCCTAAGGCCATCTGCACTGAAACTTATTCCAAAGAACCACATTACAAATCTCTGCCTTTTATGTACAAAATTAACGGTAATATTTGCATGGTGCTTGTACATCCCGCTTAGCCTTGGATCTGCTTTAAGCGGTGTTAACCTCTCCCCCCTGGTCCAAACAGCCCTTTAGGTGCATAACCTGTTGATTGTACTGTAAGTGCCACTGGAGGACAGGTCCATCAGTGGCTACTAGCTATGTTGACTAAAAAGGAAGCTCCACATTCAGAGGCAGTAAACCTGTGGATCCCAGAGCCAGGAGGCAACATCACCGTGTTGCTGAACCTCCAGAGAAACTGGTTGGCCACTGTGTGAGACAGGATGCTGGACTAGATGGACCACTGGTCTGATCCAGCAGAGTAACTCTTATGTTAAGTGGCTTGTATGAGACTGATGTTCCCTTCCTGACTTGGTCTTGCACACCAGTTAGGGCTTGGAATAATAGAAGTTCCATTTATGGCAGGAGAATAAGAGATTCAAAGCTCGAACTGCACATGGTGGTTTTTCAGAAAATTTTGGTACAGAGCAGAGAATTGGCTTTGATGGCATGGTTTGGGGCTGTATATGCTGCAAATCTGCATGAGGTCAGAAAACCCTCCAACAGACTGTGATGTTGGGGGCAGTGTTCAGCTTCCTTTTAACTAAATGGTGAGTCAAAGCCCCCCCTCAAGCACCAAGAATACAGAGCATCACTTGCCCCAGACCGAGTTCCTATCTATACCTTGTGCTGATGGACCTCTGCTCCACATGTTTATCCAATTTCCTCTTGAAGCCATCCATGCTCGTAGCCACACCACCTCCTGTAACTGAATTCCATGTGCTACTCTTGGAGTTAAGAAATACTTCCTTTTATCCGTTCTAACCCGACTGCTCAGCAATTTCATTGAGTGCCCACAAGTTCTTGTATTGTGAGAAAGGGAGAAAAGTACCTCTTTCTCTACCTGCTCCATCCCATGCATAATCTGATAAACCTCAATCATGTCACCCCTCAGTCGGCCAAAGAGCCCCAAGCGTTTTAACCTTTAATGCCAGTTAGTTCAGCCAACTGTAACGCTCCTCTGGGGTAAAATAAGTCTCTGCAAGGGCACTGAGCCCACGTTTCAAGAAGCACAGTGATGGGGAATTTTGGTGAAAGGGCATCATGTACAAAAGGAATGTTTTGCATAAACAACAGACAGCCGAGGCCCATAAGCAAGTCAGAAGGGGGTAGAAGTCCCTTGAGGACCCCTACAATTGTTTGTTTTGTTTGTGTTGCATAAGTTGTGGGGCCATCATTATTCTCATTAAATTGATGTGGTACCTAGTCCTTGAACAACAGTTGCCCTTAAGGATGGCAGTCTTGCACTGGGAACATTAGAAAAATAGTCCCGTCCATCCCCCCCTTCCTGGCTGATTTCCCCACTTAGCCTCTAGAACCAGAATAGAAATATGCAAGGGGGGAGTCTTAAGATTCTATCTGCCACCTTTTTAAAAACAAACCAGAGACACAATCAAGATGCTGCAGATTTGCTGCAATCTCGAGCATTACATTCCACTGCTGTGAACCTCAGCCTGAAATATTTACTTTCTGTACAGAGACTGGGTTATGCAGCCACACTCTCATTCTCCACTCTGGATGTCGTTCCTGTAACTTTTGGCAGCGAGATTGCCCAAATCATGCGGTAATGCGGAGCTTGTTAATGCAAAGTTTGTTAACACTTCCATGGGAAAATGACTCCTGGCTTCCACCAATGTTCAAATGCTTGTTTAATACACACACTAGAGTGTGTTTATATGTTTTAGCATCTGGCATGGAAAGTTGCCTGTGTCTCCTCCTGTTCTTATTTTCTGTTGAGCCAACAACCAATTCCTCCATCTGCCAGGCCTAAAACTGACTTCCCACCTTATGTCTTTTTTAGTGGGACATTGTTCTGAAATGTTGGGTATTAAAATACTACCTTGAAAGTAAAAGAATCTCTCTTCAAAGATATGGATTTTGGCTAGAGTTGCCAGGTCCCTCTTGGCCACTGGTGGGGGATGGGGGTGTAGGCAGGGGTCTTTTGGGGCCGGAGCGCACCAAAGCACCGCTCCGGCAGTCCAGAAGCCGGTGCAAATAGTGGTGACGGCAAGCCCCACCCCCAGCTCCCCACGCTAAACCGCTGGGGCCGGGGGGAGGCCCGAAGAGGCCCGCAGCTGGATTCCCCGGGCCTGTGCAGAAATGCTGTGGCCGGGGAGGAGGCCCGGAGAGCCCCGCAGCAGGGTCCCCCAGGCCCGCTCAGAAGTGCTGCGGCTCGGGGGAGGTGTGGAGAGCCCTGCCGCCGGCTTCCCCGGCCCGCGTCGAAGCAGTAAGTAAGGGATCCTCGGGGGTGGGGGGGCTTGATGGGGGTGGGTGGGAGAGCCTCCCTCCCTCCCTCTCTTTGCCATCTTTCCCTCCTTTCCCTTTCTTTCCCTCCTTTTCTTTCTCACTCTTTTCCTCCTTTCCTTCTCTCTTTCTTTCTTTCCCTCCTCCTTCTCTTCTTTTTTTCCTCCTTTCCCTGTTTCCCTCCTTTTCCCCTTCTCTCTCTTTCTTTCCCTCCTTCTTTCCTTCTCTTTCTTTCCCTCTTTCCTTCTCTCTTTTTATCCTCTTTCCTTCCTTCTTTTCTTCCTTCTTTCCTTCTCTGTCCTTCCTTCTTTCCTTCTCTCTACTCTCTCTTTTTCCTTCCCTCTTTCCTCCTTCTGTGGCCCAACTCTAGTGAGAACGGGTTTAAACTTTAAACCCCTTCTCTCTTCGCTCCCCCCCCCCGCAGGCCAGCTGGGGAAGGGAAGGGGAGGCTTTTGAAGATGCCTCCCCCTCCTTTTGTTTCCCCTTCTGACATCACCTCCGGTACTCATATTCTTGCTGGTTATATGTGTGTTGAACGATTGCATGGTTGAACATTTTCCCCACTAATATCCCTGCAGATGCAAAGATGGTCTGTCAAGGAGAAGTGGTCACCTAACCTTCTCTCAAATATGTTGGGGAGAATATGTGAAACCTTACACACATTGTGAATGTTGTTTGACCCACAGGCTCCGCCTGCATGAAGAAAAGATAATTAAAGATCGAAGGCATCACCTCAAGACATATCCAAACTGCTTTGTTGCCAAAGAGCTGATTGACTGGCTGATTGATCATAAGGAGGCCACGGAGAGGGAGACTGCAATTAAACTTGTACAGAAATTACTGGACCGTAGCATTATCCACCATGGTGAGTGAAAAGAATTGGCCTTTATTAAATTCTTTAGTATTAAATTTGTTTTAACCATGATATTCCTTCAAGGAGCTGCTGAAGGTCATCTAGCAAACTTCATGGTAGAGTGGGCATTTGGGCCCAGACCTAGTCAGTTCATACATTATGGAGTACACAGATTGGGTCTGGGTGGACCCTGCGTAGCTAGGGTTGCCAGGTCCTTACCATCTGCCGATGGGGGGGCTCCAGGCTACTCCCCTGGATTTTTTGTCGTGCAAGCGAAGTGATGATGTCACCTGGAAGTGATGTCATCATGCTGGGCACGTTGTGCAAGAGAAGCTCTAGCATTTGGCCAAAAACTCTATGGTCATTGTAGAGTTTTTAGCCAAATGCTAGAGTGCCCCCATATGACGTGCCTGATGCGCCATCACGTTGGGCGCAGCGGGGCTCTTTGGGGCCTCCAAGGGAAATCCCGCCCCCATTGGGAAGATGGCAACCCTGTGTGTAGCAGTCAGGCTTACCTTGTGGGTTCTCCTCAGTTCTCACATGTGTGGAGCCCAATTATGGCACACGTGGAGAAGGGGCTTCAGCCTTCCCCCTGAACCCAACCTGAAATGGCCTCAGGGGCACTGTTTGCGTCACTCCTCTGGACCTTTTCAGAGTGGGAAAATGGCACATGAGAATGCTGAAGCTTTCTGAATAGAAGGTGCATTTCCAATCTGAATCTGGCACCCTATGAGTAGGATATGAAGAGAAACCATAACGCATGTCTGACTGTTACAGTGGGGTGAGGACCCCAGACCCAAGCTGTGTATTCTGTAATGTATGAATCGACGTCTACTCACCGCACTATGATTAAGAATAGTACTTGTCAGTCTTGTAGAAAGGAATTCTTAAGAAAGAATTGTCTTCAGGTGACCCGCTAAAGAAGTTATTTACACCGGAAGGTATTGTTCCTTTTTTTCTCTCTCTTTCAGGCCTTTGGTGTGGGTGTACCACTGATAGTTAGTAACAGGGGACGTTTCGTAGAAAAAGAGCTAGGAGAACTCATTAGCATAACTCATTAGCATAACTCATTAGCATATGCCACACCCCCTGACATCAGGGGCCCGGCGGTGGACCTGCAAGGCTGGTGGGAGTGCGAGGAAGCCCCGCCAAGGCCCTCCCTGGCCCCAGGCAGGCAGGGGTGGGGAGAGGCGGGGAGGAAGCAACTTACCCTCCCTCTTCTCCTGCCTCCTCCTGGCTGAATGAGGGCCGGAAGCGGGGCGGGCGGAAGATGGGGCCGGGCTTCGTCATGTGCCCCGCCCCCCGCACCTCACCCGGGGGAACTGCGATCCCTTGCAATCCCCCCCGAATCGATCTCTGGTTAGTAAAATATAGATATACATTAAGGCTAAATAACTTTTGGTAGACATACTTTGCAAATATTTTTGTGTTATTTTGCCTTCATTTCCAAGTTTGAAATAGTTATTACTGGGCGTTTGGCTCCCTATTTTGAAGAGTTAGCACTTTTGATTTAACGTATCAATAGAAAGGAGCAAGAGTCCAGGAGCACCTTAAAGGCTAACATTTGTGGCAGGGGGTGAGCTTTCATGAGTCACTTCTTGAGATACAGCTAGAATGGGAGTCCATCTGTCCTTATAATTGGAAAGTGGAGTGATTTCAGATGGCAAATTATATTAGCAGGCAAATAATAGCAGGTGATTCGCCTGCTATTGTCATTCACCTCCTATTGCCATCTGCCTGCTATTGTCATTCACCTGCTAATGTCATTTGGCACCTGAAATCACTCCACTCTCCAAGACCTAAGGACAGATGGACTCACATTCTAGCTGTATCTGAAAAAGCGATCAGTGACTCATGAAAGCGCATACCCTGACACAATTAGTCTTTAAGGTGCCACTGGATTCTTGCTCTTTTCTACTGCTACAGACAGATTTCACATATGTTACATTTCATTGCTGATGTAATGTATTTTAAATTTTAGTGTGCGACGAACATAAGGAATTCAGGGATCTCAAGCTTTTCTACCGCTTCAGGAAAGACGATGGAACGTTCCCACTTGACAACGAAGTGAAGGTGTTCATGAGAGGGCAAAGGATCTATGAAAAGTATGTCGTACCCAGTTTGGAGAGAGAGGTCTCGTTGTTGGCTTGCATTTATGAATACCCAGAAAAATTGTGTTGCTGCAGTCAAAAGTTCTAATTGATTTGAACTGCATGATTTCTTTGCCTGTATATTCTTACAGGAAATGTTATACTTGAGCAAATATGGAGGGAGAGTAAAATATCAGACCGGAGCGCGTAAATAAGATTTGAAACAGATGTTTGCATGGAGATATAAAATATCCTTTCTGATTACATGGCTCAAACGAAAGCACTCAAGATGTTAGATTGTCTGTCCGCCACAAAATGCAAGCCTCCCCCCCACACACACCTTGTTCAAGCGACAGGGCTTGTTTGCAGCACGGGGGCTTCAGTCACACAGAAATAAATAGAGTATGTGAGTTGACATTTACGGACAGCGGGTAGTACAAAAGGTGAGCGGATGTTTTATTGAACGAGTCTTGCCAGGATATGCTGGGACAATGCCACCATTCAGGAGATGCACACGTGGCTTTATAGGGGACAAGGAACTGGCTGAGAAGCTTGAGTTTTGATTGTCTGCAGCTGATATTGTTTCCACGTTGGTTTAAAGTGTGTGTAGAAAAAAGGATTCGGAAAAGGACTTTGGGAAAAAGTAGCTGGAGAGCCAGTTTGGTGTAGTGGTTAAAAGCACGGACTCTAATCTGGGAGAACCGGGTTTGATTCCCCACTCCTCCACATGCAGCTGCTGGTGTGACCTTGGGTCAGTCACAAGTTCTTTCAGAGCTGTTCTTTCAAGGGCAGTTCTCGAGAGAGAGAGCTCTCTCAGCCCCACCTACCTCACAGGGTGTCTGATGTGGGGAGGGGAAGGGAAAGGGATTGTAAGCCACTCTGAGACTTCTTCAAGTAGCGAAGGGTGGGATATAAATCCAATCTCTTCTTCTAGCTAACCTGAGCATGAGTACAGAACCAACAGCCCCTGTTTATATTAGTTTCAGAGTGGTGGCGGCTACAAGCATGGACAGCTTCAAAAGGGAATTAGATAGGCATATGGAGCAGAGGTCCATCAGTGACTATTAGCCACAAGGTATAGAAAGGGGCTCTGGGGCAAGTGATGCTCTGTCTTCTTGGTGCTTGGGGGGGTTCAACAGTGGGAGGGCGTCTAATGTCCTGGCCCCACTGGTGGACCTCCTGATGGCACCTGGTATTTTTGGCCACTGTGTGACACAGAGTGTTGGACGGGATGGGCCTTTGGCCTGATCCAACATTGGCGTCTCTTATGTTCTTATGAACCCTGATGGTCTGCCATGGGACAGCTCGATTTGAGTCCAGCAGCACCTTAGAGACCAACAAGGTATTTTGGGTTTAGGCTTTGGGAGCTTTGACTCTCAAAAGCTTATATCCCCCAAAATCTTGGTGGTCCGTAAGGTGCCCCTGGACTCAAATCTAGCTGTTTATACTAGGATTCAGAGGAACCTAACACAAAGACAGGCAAATCTTTTTTTAAAAAAGAGGTGATTATGGTACAATAGAAATGCTGTTTCTTGGGGTGCCTGTGCTCACTTTCCCCATCCCATCACTATCTCTGGGCAAACAGGTTTGACAGGTTTTTCTAGTGCTCAAAAGCCTGTTTGACCAGAGATGGTAGTGCGACAAATGAGTGCCTGTGCCACAGACAATGATGGACTGGATATATCGAGAGCCAGTTTGGTGCAGTGGTTAAGAGCGGTGGACTCTAATCTGGAGAACTGGGTTTGAATCTCCGTGCCTCCACATGAAGCCAGCTGGGTGACCTTGGGTCAGTCACAGTTCTTTCAGAGCGCTCTCCAGCCGCCAGCCGGGAGTCCCCCGCTGCGGCACAACACCGGACTTGGCAACCCTAGTAGTTGTTGATCTGGTCACTTGTGGCAAATCGGCATTCGCTCCAGACAACCAGCTGAGGAAGCTTTGTTAAATGGGAAGACCCTTGGTTCTGTTCTTTCAGGCTTTCACGGTGCTCCATGGTTATCCAGTGAACAGGCTGGTGATTTCAGTTGTCAGGCTGAAGTTGTCAGAGAGCAAAAGAGAAGGAGCCCACTGTGATGATAGTGGTTTGGGTCCAAGTATGTGTCACATTTCCCTTTTCTTGTCAAACGCTTTTATTTCCTTGTCACGGCTTTGTTTGCTGTAGACAGTAAAACAAATACCCTTCGCTTTGGAATGACAGAGAGGCGGCAAACCGGAGGGCAAGCTGAGTTTGCAGCACGTTGATGCCACGTTATAGGAGACTGTTTTTCAGAAATAGCAAGGAACCGCAGGCCTGTATTTAGAGCTGCATGTTCCAACATGGAATTGATGGCTGCAGTCAGGGTTAGAAGTTCCAGCTTGGAATTTGGCCCCACTTAAGCAATGGGAAAAATGCTGCAGGCCTCAGGGCTGGAGGTCAGAGAGATAGGACAGGCGCACTTCCCGCCCACTCAGAGCCCTGTGCTATTTATTTATTTATTTATTTGGAAATATACAGGGCCTTTTTTCTGGGGGAATCTGCTGGAACAGAGTTCCAGAACTTCTTTGACAAAATTCTTTTAAAAATGTTTAAAAGTCCATGAGTTTTCAATATACAGATTGAAAACTTCACTTTCCTCTTGAGAGTTCCAGCACTTCTTCCCCCACCCAAAAAAAAGCCCTGGAAATATATATTTTTTAAAAATCCTGCTCATAAACAATTAATTCTGGCTGAAAGGAGGGGGAGGAGAGTTGGATTTATATCCCACCTTTGTGATTTAATTTCATTGGCTTCTTTGTGGTTGAGGGTTATTTATTTATTTAATGGTGGGATCTGGCAAATCCCAGCACTATTAAATGCAGCTTTTCCTAGGAGAGAACAGCTCTGAGATAACTGTGACTGACCCAAGGTCACACCAGCAGCTCCACGTGGGAACACTGCAGTGTCCCCGCTAAGCTGTGCATGTGAGTGGCCGCTCATGAACACAGGAAGTTCTTCTCAGCAGCAATCTGCAGCCGCGCAGGGTCTTGCACTGCCCATTGCCCATTTTAAGATTACAGCAGCTATATTCTCCGTTCGGGGGGGGGGGGGTAGGGGGCGCATTACCCTGCGGAAGCACTTTTTAGCTGTCACAGTTTTGGCAATCCAAGGGTGAGTAAGGGGAGATCACACTACTCATGACCTTCTTAATATGCACTGTCACCATTTTTCATGAGCAGGGCAACGTGCGCGTTTTCTAGATCTGGTTTTCGCGGTCGGAAAGCCAGAGTTTTTTAGCCTATGCTTTTGAGCACATCAAGGCTGACAAATTCGTGCATTGCTCTGTTTGAGCAGAATGGCGATTGTATGTATTAGAATGAGTGAAAGCAGAGCACTCTCCCATTACACAAGGCTGGAGTGCCAAAATTGTAATTTGCCTAACAAGGCTACTGTGGGGGAGGGATGAATTGGCACTTTTAACCATTATACTTCCCAGCAACCCCTGCTCTTGAGACTCTGAGGTTCAACTTCGGCCAGAAAGCTGGCTGAAACAGCAATAATTTGAAACTTCGTTGTTGGAAAAATCCAATTACTCGCTCCTGTATTAGGTTGCTGATCTGTTTAATTCAGGATCCTCGTAAATAGATCTCTGGAGCGACACATCTGCATGCGATGACAGCTAATACATTCTTAATATTTTTTGGCAGGAACAACATGTTCTGGATTTGAAATGTTAAATGGCTGTCTGATCTTAGCAGGGAAGGGAAAGCTACAGCTGATACTGCGTTATAAAACCAATGAAAGTTATAATATGTAGATATTGCAGCTTTTCCATTCAGGGATGCATCCACGCAGTGAACACCTCCATTCTGGGGTGGGTGCGCTGCAGATAGTTTAATATTTAGCTATCCGAATATGCACAAGCTTACCCAGGTAATAGAATATCTAAGTAAAACAGCTGGGGGATTTCCTGTCTGTGTGCATGCCCAGTGTTCAAATCAGTCCGGTTACTGAAATGGCCAGCCAACCACTTTTCACCGTGAAGAGAGTCTATATTTGTGTGTATAGTACGGGTTTGTTTTTACAAGAAGCCTTGCGGGTGGAAGGGGGAGCGGATGGTGCTCTGTGCATAGATAAACTGCAACTCCCCAAGGGATCGCTTTAATTCCGGGCTGGGCCACCCACTCATTCTTTTGCCGTAATAGTGTTCGGGAGTAGCTCTTTACTTCTCGCTCCAGAGGAATGAATGGTAATCAGTGATTTATATAGGGAAAAGTACGAGGGAAGGCGGGCTTGGATACCACTTTCTTCCCTGATAGATCTGCCCCCAGGCTGCAGTTAGTTCCAGTAGGTAATGAAGAAATATAGTACTTTTCTACAGAGCTAAAACACACACATACAAAATCATAAAAAACAATAATTAAAAGAGTAGGCAGGAAGGAGGGATCATTGAGAGAGCACAAAATAGCACACACAAAAAAGTCTTCACCTGCTGGTGGAAAATGGCAAAAGTAGGGGACAGGCAAGTGTCCCTGGGACAGTAGAAAAGAGCAAGAGAGTCCAGTAGCGCCTTAAAAAACAACAAAATTTGTGGCAGGGTCTGAGCTTTCGTGAGTGAGCACAAGAGAAGTGAGGAGTGACTTGTGAAACCTCATCCCCTGCCACATGTTTTGTTAGTCTTTAAGGTGCTACTGGACTTTCTTGCTCTTTTCTACTTCTACAGACAGACTCACAAGGCTACCCATCTTGAAGTATCCCTGGGGGAGTTTTGGTGCTGTGACCAAGAAAGCCCTCTCCTAGGGTTGCCAAGTGAATTTTACTCACCGGTGGGGGAGCCTTGCCGCGCTCCGGGAGCCGTCCCTCGTCATGCAAGTCACCAGAAGTGACGCGTGACGTCAATCACGTTGAGGGCGTGGCCCCGATCGTCGGAGGGAAAACCATAGAGTTTTACCTCCGACGATCGGGGCCACACCCCCACCGGGATTGACGTGCGTCACCTCTGGTGACGCAGCCACGCTGCACTTTGGGGGGCAGAGTTCCCCCCGGGGCCCAATTCCGCGGC